AAAACGAGAAAAAAAAAATACAATTTTTGAACATTAATATCTCCCAAAGCGCAAAAAATCGCAACCTGACATTTTCAGCAAAAATTAAGCAACACTCGATTAACAAAATATCAAAATTTGAGAGAGGTATATTTTGGTGATTTTTTTAGATTTCTTCATTTTAGTGGAACATGATTTTTTTCTATAACTTTTTTTAATGCATTGAATTTGTGTTTCGAAGACTTCAAGACTTTTTCAAAGTTGGTTATCTTGATAAAATAAACAACTTTTCTTAATACGTTAAAACTTCACAGCCTACAGCCGTTAATAACTTATTCACAGAACCGTTTCTTGATGTCGTATTGGATGCTAGATAAAAGCTTCTTTTATCGATTTATGTGCTGAAAATACCTGGGAATGTCTTTACATGACCGTGAGGATGCAAAGAGAAAGTTGACGAAGCGAATCTGTCAATATTACTTAGGACCTAATGCAATGTTCAGCTTGAATTCATTTTTTTTTATTTGAGGGCAAATGTATATTCCTATTCTACGGGTGCAACCGATGAATTTTACAAACATTTAGAAAAGTTTTGAATGGTACATTAACCTTTATGAAAAGTTATGCTTGATTTCAACCTTTTTGCCCTAGGACTGTTACCATTCCATGCATGCGAGCGAGAACGGAAGAATCATGGAGATTGCTGACGTTTTTCTTACGCACACTACGTCGCGTTACGTATACACGAAATGTTTTCATGCTCATGCTAACAATTTTGTTGATTTTCTTTGCGCTCCGCTTGGAAGTACCGGAAAGTTTTGATTCTTTTCTATGTTGTAAAAATAAACCACCTATTTACATTTCTGACAAGTTGCAACTGAATGCTTATAATTGTTTTAAAATAACTGTTTCATGGCCAACTAGTTTTATTGCGCTAACTTATAAAGCAACGAAAGGATATATTTTTTGGTTTTATAAGGGCAATTCATATAACTTTTTTTTATACTTCAAAGCAAGCATAAAACCTTTCATAAGTGAAAATAGCATAAGCATCAGTTGGTTTTTTAATTAGCTTTATAGGGGTTTTGTAGATAGCTATAAGAATGTTTCATGACTTGCATTGTATATGACCGTGATAAAGCTGTAGGTAATGGTTGCAGCTGCAATAAAACCTTTATAAATTTTGAATATAGCCAAGCAGCTCTAGATTTGTTACTTGGGATTTCCCGTCGATTAGAACGTGATCGATTTGGTTTTCTGTGTGTTGGTCAGGTCAAAGGTCTCCAGGTGGCTTTGTGGATATCCTTGCGGGGGAAAAAGGTACTTCGAACTACCATACCCCGGGAGGCTGCAAAGTTCACGCATCGTTGGCCGTTGTCGTTCGATACGGCATGCAGGCTGTTTGGCCCGATTGCCGGTCTATACATTGCCTCCCGTCCTACCTGAGCGTTTATGTCGCCGATGACGACTTTGACGTTCCGTTGCGAACAGCCGTCGTACACCTGCTCCAGCTGCCCATAGAACGCTTCTTTCTCGTCGTCGGGTCTCCCTTCGTGTGGGCAGTGCACGTTGATGATGCTGTAGTTGAAGAAACGGCCCTTAATCCTCAACTTGCACATCCTCGCGTTGATCGGCTGCCAACCAATCACGCGTTGGCGCATCTTACCCAGCACTACAAAGCCGGTTCCCAGCTCGTTGGTGGTGCCACAGCTCTGGTAGAAAGTAGCCGCTCGATGCCCGCTTTTCCATACCTTTTGTCCCGTCCAGCAAAGTTCCTGCAGTGCTACGACTTCGAAGTTGCGTGGTTGAAGTTCGTCATAGATTAACCTATCGCAACCCGGGAAGCCGAGCAATTTGCAGTTCCATGTTCCGAGTTTCCAATCGTAGTCCTTATATCGTCGCGTAGGTCTGTGCCGATTGTTCCGATCCGTATTTCTTTCTTCGGTATTTGCAACTTTGTTTTTTTTCCAGGGCGGCTTGTTGGGCCTGCCCCAACCCCCTGTCTCGCCGGGGGACCATCGTGCACAGCTCTGTTTAGAGTCCCACGCTGGCACTAGGACGGTGATCAGCCGCTCCTAACATGGAGAACAGACGCCATTTTGAGCCGCACCTCCATGGTGAGCAGACGCTCAGGTTTGGTGAAGTATTTCCTCTATCACCGTACTATGGTTACCGCGCCAGTGTTCGCGTCGCACCTCTTCACTTTGCTATTGCCGGACTGGCAACATTGCCCAGGCTACGCCAACCAGCTGTGTCCATGTTTCAGCTGGTAGTCTTTTGTTATCATATGACTCGAGGAGGCGTGAAGTAGGAACTTGTGAGGACCAGGGCTAGGTATTCCGCTCCTTCCAGGTTGTCAACTCACCATTTTGTAGTGTCGTTTCTGTTCTATCATGGACAAATTATTTTTATCTAGATCAAAACATTATATGGTTTTGACAGTTCTGATCACTGCACATTTAATGCAGCCCTTTACGATTTTCGGGCATAAGTCAGGATTAAGTGTCATGTCGGTTTGTCGGTGCTTCTATTATGAGATATCACGCTACGGCATGACTCACAAATGCTCATCGTTTCATCAATTTTGTGGTTATATCCCATAGAATGTATTTTTTCTACCATCGTTGACGATATGGTGCAATAGTAATAGTAATAGGATATAGTAATAATAGTGTAATAGGATGCTTTGTTGATTGTTCATTAACTCTTGATCGATTGTAATACTTATGAATATTTTAGGTGGACAAAAAGGCGAACTAAGACGTGGACGCCTAAGCTTATTCACATTTATATCGCTGTGAAGCAACTGTAAACTCTAGAGGGAATTTATATCTGTAAATGTAACCAGATCGTTTTTTGCTAACCTGGTTAAAATATCTACATTAAATTATTTTAAAGATAAATCGTTCAGCTCAAACCTTTGTAGGGGTTGGAGGTGGGACCATCGTCATCATCATATGGCCCGTAACTTATTTCGGTTGCTTCTCGGATTATTTATATTTGCACAACATTTCAATCCTTTCAGCTCTAATTTACTACTTTGGTCCATGATAATAATTTTACTAAAACTTTTCTTCACAACTTTTGTTATCAGATTGACTGCTGCTTGTACGAAATCAACCCTAGTTTCATAGTGCTCATAGGTAGAATGAAGTGTTAGGAATATAATGTTAATGGCTTAGGTATAAATAACAGAAGGGAAAATCGTTGCTGAAACAAAAGAAGATCTCAATATAAATTTCATTCATACCTAATTCTTCATGGATAATTTTAGCGAAGAATGCTATGTTGCTATAGAAGTAACGGATTATGCCTCAGTGGTAGACAATATAATCAATTATATTATTTTCTAATGATATAAGCCCTTTTCATCTGGAATTATCGATAAATCCAAGTGATTAGTTGCTGATTAGAAAAAAATTAATCACAAATTGAGCTTCATTGGATTCTGAGATGATTTTGAGCTTCACTGGTTTAGTTTTGTGTGAAAATGATACGTTTAAAAAAAAAAGTTCAGGCATGAAAAAGTTTTTGAAAGAAAAACTTATTTTCCTTAAAGGTACCAACTACCTATCTTGAGGCAAAGTTTCATCCAAATCAAACATGGCCATTTTTTAATCGATTTTAAATTTTAAAAATCGATTTTTTTCAATGTAGGTCTTTAATGCAATTTTTTTCAGTATTTTTTTTTCGATAATTTGGACAATTTCCTAAAAGTCATCCATACAACACATTTTTGTTGACGTTGGATAACGTCTTTCGGCAACATACGGGGGTAAAAAATTGAACAGTCATTTTGGATGCGTTACGAAAAATTAAAAGATTTTGAACGATAATAACTCAACCGTCTCTCGATAGATTTACGAGATAATGGCATCAATCGATTGGAAATATTTCTAGCAATTTGCTGAATGTTTCAAAACTATTGATTTCATTCTGTAAACTATTGAAAAATGGTTAAAAGTAAACCATTGTCTAAAGATGGTGAAAATCGATTGATTTTTTTATATTCTTATACTTTCTCCAACCGAGACATCAGATGCGAGTATCTGATACCTCTGATATTTTCTGTTCTACTATATAAGCGTCCAACAAGGTCGCCCGTTCCATCATCGTCAACAACATCAGTCCAACAAAACGGCCCTTTTCAGGGCCACCAAACTTTCGCAAAAGAGTTATTAAGGAATATTCCTAAAATATAATATACACAATTAAGTACAACACATAACAGACGTTATCCAACGCCAATCCTGTGGTCGTATCTAGTATACAACCCTTCCAACTTTTTGTAGGAGTTGTAATTTTTCCTTAATATTTTTTTGAAAAAAATCGGTAAAGAAAGTTTGGCCATTCTCAAAGGTTAGTCTAGGTAAGAAAAACTAAGTATATGCAAAGTGGCTTATTTAGTCAAAGTCTACACATCCAGAAAGTTTCATTGAAATCTGAGAGGGTGCTGCCATCTTCGAATACGATTTGGCGCGAAATGCGTGTGAAGTAACATTGCTGAACACCAAACCAGTTAAATCCAAAGCAGGTAACGAGATCACACTTATTCGAGATTCAAGTTACCATACAAAACAAAACATAAAACTCTGTTTTATTTGCTTTAATTTATATCCACATGCGAAGCATCTTGGTTCTTATTTGATGAATGTGGTTGGTACGATTTGAAAGAACTTGTTATCTAGCTTCTACCAGTTCACCTTCCCTCATATCTGCTTTAATACCAATCGCGACGGAGGAAAATCAATTGCCTTTAAAAATAACCTTCTTCTAACAATCCAAACACACACGCCTGATAGGTACCCAACATGGCCCAGAATGCTTCCCAGGAATCATAACCGTCCTTTTTTTTCTGGACGTGGAAACGTGCGGCGGGGGTTCAAAAGGTGATTGCGTTTCATAAATTTCTAACACCGCTCGCCGAAGCACACCTGAGCTTATAAAAGGAAGGGTTCGTCCTTACGGTGGCCCACAGTTCGTCAGTGGTCAGTCTCTCGCGGTCGGCCTGGACTGGAAAAATGAAAAGTATTCTCCTGATTAGTGTTTTGTGCTTTCTGTGGTTGGAGCTGTTGCAGGCTTGGCAGGAGAATGCTCTGAAAAAGGACAACATTCATGATGCCCTGATTGCCTACAGGTCCTCTGATGTGGAGCGGCGTCGGAATCAGTTCTATGAACTCTCCAGTGAGCAGTATGTCTCGGGTAGTTTCGACTCGTTGAATGAAACCGGCGCTTCTAACGACGGCAAACTTGCGAGAATAAAGCGCTACAATGATCCTACGTTTCGCGGAAATCCCAAGACTCGGGAGCAGATTTGGAGTAAAAACTTCGCTCACCTTGTCAGCAACGATTTGCAGTCGGTATCGTTGGTGAAACTCCTGATTCGAATTATCAAAAAATATCTAAGCGGGTGCATTCCGATCATTTTGTTTGATGAGCACATGGAGCAGTCTGAACGTTTTGTAATGGAAGCACTGTTTAGCGACTTCCCGACGACATACATCTGTGGAAGGATTGGGCCAAACTATACCTTGAACAATCCGGAGCTTCTAGTACCATCGGCTTCGCAGTGTCGCAGCTACGTTTTGTTCTTATCCGACGTCATGATGACCCGAAAGGTGATTGGACCACAGCTAACGAATCACGTTATCGTCGTTCCCCGGTCTAGCCAGTGGAAGCTTCAGGATTTCCTGTCCTCCAAGGAGTCCCGTGATATTTTGAATCTGTTGGTCATTGGTGAATCGTACTCATCCGAGAAAACGATCAACAGCGAGGCTCCGTACGTCCTGTACACACATGAGCTGTACATTGACGGGTTGGGATCGAACAGACCCATTGTTCTAACTTCGTGGTTCAACGGGAAGTTTTCCCGTCCGAGCGTGGATCTATTTCCGCCAAAAATTCGGAAAGGTTTCTCTGGCCATCGGTTTACAATCTCTGCGTCTCACCAGCCACCGTTTGTGTTCAAGATCATGTCTACCGATGGGGTCGGTAATATTGCCATTAGATGGGATGGGCTGGAATTGCGATTGCTAAAGACGTTGGGAACTTACTTGAACTTCACGTTCGATATTAAGGAACCATCGAAAGCGTATCTTGGGTAATTGTTATTAGATTGTGAAATTTAGATGACAATTCTTAGTGTTGGTGTATTTACTAGTTCAGGGGATGCGATCACGGATGAGGTGGAACGTAGGCAAGCCGATATCGGTCTGGGTGGCGCATACGTTACCATGGAACGGAATATAAAGTCAGAAATGTCAGTGTCTCATTCGACGGATTGTGCTGCTTTTGTGACCATTATGTCATCGTCGCTACCCAGGTAAATGGAATTGGTTTAAATAAAGTTTCTAGTTTGCAGTTGCAGCCAAAAATTTGCACGAAGAATTAAATTAATGGGGTGGGAGATTAGCAATCCATGCTCAGAGTGCAAACTCCGGCGAATTAGTACGATCAATATCGAACATCTGGGAGGGGAAGGATTTTTGGTTCGACATCCGTTGTTACTAGAGTATTAAGAAAAATAATTTGAAATGACAGGTTTATAGCAAGAATGGCGATCTACAGCTACAACATATTATGGAAATTTGTTTTCTAAAAAGCTTGGATGTTTTAAACCTAAACTCACAGTTTTGTCAATAATTTTCAACGAAAATAGCAACGTTACCCGAGTGGAAGAAAATGACTGATGAATAACAAATTCAGGAATGAATTCAGCATAACTGGATAGCTAACTATGATATTTAATAGGCTGGCATAAGCGAAAAAATACCAAAAATAATACCTAAAAAAAAAAAAAAAATCTGCGAATAACGAACGAAGAAATAATTTAGTTATTATAATAACTGTAGGATCATCAACGCTTTTACTCGAGTAAGAACCGATAACTAATCAATAACATACGAATATCTTAATGAGGTATGATACCTTATTTTGGTATCAGTGTCTGGAAATCTGTTAACATGCCATTGAACTACCGTGTGTCAGGTTCGTAACTGTTCATGAATAGATATTCACAAATGAGTGAAGAGTCAGACACCTTTGCCGAATAAGAGTATTCAGTTTTGTAGCACCAAATGAATCAACGAAACGAAGAACGATGGTTGAATACCAAAAAAATGATCAAAACAGTTCTCCGAATGACGCGTTCAATGATTGTATACAACTTTTAACTGCACATATCAAGCTGAACATTGCATTATGTCCTAAGTAACATTGACATATTCTCTTCATCGTCTTTCTCTTTGTATTTCCACAGCCATATAAAGACATTCCCAGGTATTTTCAGCACACAGATCGATAAAAGAAGCTTTTATCTAGCACCTAATACGACAAACACAACAAGAAACGGTTATGTGCTCAAGTTATTAACAAAAGACCCAACAAACAATTGCCTATTGAAGAAACGGCTTCTTGACTATTTTATTCCATTTCATGCTTAATAATACTTGTACAATTTTTAATAATAACTTCTGTTAAGGCTTTGTTCACACAAATCTGGAGAATTTGTTCAACCACAATATCGAAATATTTGGTGTTGAATATGGTATGTCGAGAAGCTTTTATTCGACTTACAAAAGTTGTAACAGAGCTTTATTCGATCAAATTTTTGATTATTCAGCGTCTATTAGACATTATTACTTCCTTAAACAGGGATGGTATAAAGGTGTATAAAGACGCTTGATTCTCTCATGTGAAATAATGTTTAATTAGACACTATTATACATTTATTAAACGATTATTCAACTACAGGATAATTAATCCGAAAATACGAACGGGCACAGAGAGCAGGGTTGTTCTCTTTAGTGATTGTTGTGTCATTTATTTTTGTCGAAGCACAACACACCCACCATACAGATACTAGAAAATTTATTACAAACATACATACACAACAACAACAACACATGTCCGTTGGCATACACTCAAAAAATTCCACACGTCATCATCATGTGTCTCACACTTAATTTTGCGCTTATTGTGAAACACATCCATTTCTTGTGTGAATCTTATGCTATGAATCATGCCTGAACATGCCTGGATTTGAATTGTGACACACTTGGATTCTATGTGCCTCATATGGTGATATTAATAGCTTTGCACATCATAGTTCAATATTCTACTTTATCGACTTCTTCTTTGCCGACTCTAAAAATGAATCGACAAATTGATAAACAAAACTGCCAGAGGCCAGAGCTTTCACATATCTTTTTAATGGATCTGATTTGAGATTCGATCATGGCTTGTTGGGGTGTGCTGCTGCCGGAGTCTTCGTTCGATCCCACTGTGCCACGGTTGTTCTCATATATGAAGCGGGTTGATAGGACAAAGTCACAGCTCTTGTTTTCGATATTTACCTTTCTGAGCAAGTAATTCACACCGTATTGAAATGCAAAACACTTTAAATCCATCCGTTTTGAACAGTAGTGTGATTCAATGTGGAATACGCTTGAATAGAAAGTGAAAGATTTTCAACATTTCAAAGTTTGAAACACTAGAAATTAACGTGTACAACACATTGAACCAAGGTGAAATACACTTAAAGTAAATGTGATTGGGCATCAAGTGTTTAAACACTTCGATCAAACGTGTGGGATTTTTTTAGTGTGGCTAGTTCAAGGAGATGTGAGAATGATTAATTCATTCATAGTTGTTTAACATGAGACCAACGTTACCTCTCCATCTCTCTAATTTCGATGGAAAGGATGCTATTCTTTTCGATAGATCTATGAATTGGTTGTCGTGAGTGATACGATCTATGATTAGTTGTAGAAAATAAATAAAAAAAAAAGGTTGAGGCTGGGATTGAACTCACGACCTTCTACTTGGAAAGCGGAAACGGTAACCACTATGCTACCAATTTCGTTTTGTTGTTAGCCTGAAGCAGTGTTGTGGAATAATGAATGAATACGCCGTTTGTAAAGCATTTACAAAGCATGAAATTAAGACATGGACGCATAGTGGTATAAGAGCTATTTTTCTGACTGTATTCACCATTATTAAGCAATATTGTTAAGCAATGCAATGGGATCCAATAATAAAGCTAGAAAACATTTATAAGTCGTCTAATAAAGCATTTTATTAAAGCAATTGAAAACAGTCGAATTAAAGCGACAATGTATGTGCAAATTACACTTATTCAGTTTGTTATTAGATTAACCTTCTGGTGTTGAATCAGGCAGACAGTCAACGTTTATAAAGCTTTTAATAAGTAAATTAGTCATATTAGAGCAAACGGCGGAATAAAGGCGCATCTATCGATCTCAATGAGCTTTTTTCAGCACATTATTCGACATCCTGTTTTATTCAGCAATGTACACTGTTATACAGCATTTATTCAATGTGTATGCTTATTTGTGACTGTGAATTGTTTGTTGGGTAATTGTCTGGAATTTCGGCACGGTACGAAGAATTGTCACATAAAGGCTCGTTGTGGCAAATGTACTGGGGCTCACACTACTACCGCCTGTAAGAAGGAAGAAGAAACTGAACCTAAGTGCGTGAACTGTGATTCCAACCATCTGGGCGCAAGCGGCCTTCATCCATATCCGGCAACAGGCTTCCACGAGGAACCAACCTGGTCGCCACCGTCAACAAGGACACGTTTTCTGTACTTCCGGCTCGTCGTATGGTCCCGAACCTAGCACCGCTTCCATTAAACCAGCGCCCCCCGTTGCGAATCCAACATCAGAGCAAGCGGGTCCCAGCCAACGTTCAGTTCAGCATCGCCTCACTGATGCTGCGGCCCAGCCGAGCCATAACTCTACTGCCCCGGGATTATCGTACGCCCGTGCTGTGTCAGGTGAGTCAGAAGAAAATTCTCCACTCACAAGCGACGAACTAGTGATCCTCGTGACTGAGGTGATCATAATCTTACGCACCACCAAGACACTACCTGAACAGCTTCGTGCAGTTATGACCCTCGTGCAAAAGAATGGACCGTGAAGCCATCAAAATAGCCAACTTGAACGCTTGCTCGCTCAAGAGCAAAATCATTGAGTTCGTTGATTTCCTCAATGAACATAGCATAGACATCGCTGTCATCACCGAAACACACCTGAAGCCGGAGATAAATGTTCACCTCCCCGATTTTCGGCTCGTAAGGCTAGACCGGACCAGCTCCTGTGGAGGAGGAGTGGCTATCGCATTAAGGAGAAATATTGGCTGTCGACTGCTACCGAGTTTCCAGCTGAAGATGATCGAAGCGGTTGGTGTGAAAGTCTCCACTCCTGTCGGCCCTATTACCATCATTGCGGCCTGCTGTCCCAAACAAGCCACCATCAGGGACGGGTCGGCAGCAGACCTGCGGAGAGACATCATCAGACTAACTCGACGCCGTGAGAAGTACATCATCGCTGGCGACCTGAACGTCAAATACCAGGCTTGGGGCAAAAGTCGACGCAACCAAAACAGCACAATCCTGAACGACGACCTGCAAGAGGCTCACTACACCATATTAGCGCCGGACTCTCCCACCCGCTTGAGCCGGTTTGGCGTACACTCCACCATCGACATCTTCGTCAGCAACATGAGAGACAACATCTCGCAACCTGTGACCCACCAGGAACTGAGTTCGGACCACTATCTGGTGGTGGCCGATGTGGGCTCATCCGTCAACCGATTCCAAGCTCCCGACGCGTCAGCTGGGATCAGTTCCAACACTGTTTCGACTCCCCTGTAGACTACGGTGTCCTTCCGGAGACGTCCGAAGACGTTGACCGGTGTCTGCATTCCATCGAGGAGGCGATATCCCGGGCCAGGGAACAACACGTGCCAGTATCCAGACAGGAAAGCAATACTCTGAACCTTGACTGATCTACCAAAGACCTTATAAGACTCCGTAACACCATCCGAAGGCAATACCAACGCTCTGGTCTGCCTGTCCTTAAGACCCACTGTAATCGACTAAGAAAAAACCATCCAAGTCAGGACCTAAGAAATCAGGACTTTGCTAACAGGATCCGCTCTCTCCCAGATTGTGCAAAGCCCTTTTGGAAACTAACCAAAATTCTTCAAAATAAGCCAAGACCCATTCCACCACTGACCCCACTGGATAGTCCCGGTGACTGAGTGGTTCATCTGATAACTCCTGAAGAGAGACGCATTGTTACATCCAATTGATGATCAAAGCCCCATGAATGTATTTTCTCTATGAGACTTGATGATAAATTACGTAAATTATTGCGGCTGCAATTGGGATTGTTTATGTTGGCACTACATTGCACCCTTTTAATAATCAATTCAGCAGATTTTTCCATTGTTGTATATATAAACACTTTTTCGTTTCAACAACTATGCAGCACTACACTTTCAACAACTATGCAC